GTTTACTCATCACACAGTGCTTAGTGGATGTAGGGGGTCGGGAGTAGCCCATTTAAGACTGCTTCATTAGGAGAGTGAAAGACAACCTTAAAGAAACAAAATTAGGGCAACACTCCTGAGTCAACAGTTGCCATTATTGCTCTTCCATCTCAGGAGTCCTTACCAAGCAACTGCAATTTCCTGATTAAGAGACCATAAAAAAAACCCAGAAAAATAATTAGCAATTAAAAGATGCTCTCTTTGTAATGTTTTGTTTTTAAATACTGAGTCTAAAACACATAAAGGAAATTTATATAAAAATCCAGATTAACAAGGAAGTGCTATCAATTCAGTTCTCATATGTTGAATAAGCAAAGAATTCATCATGATGGTAGAAATCCTCCCTTTTTCATTTTCACTAGTCACTATGCATGAGGACCACAATGCACAGTTTGTTCTACACATTCAGTCAGAATTGATTCATCATTTTATATATTTGGAACAACAAATGTCTAGTTTGGAGAAAAGGAGGCTGATTTTTGGAGAAATGTATATTACTTCTTTCTAAAAGGACACACAGGCAGAAACTCTTAGGTACTGTAACAGGAATATAGGTATGTGTTTAAACTCAAATCTCAGACAAAATACCTCATAACTTACGATTTGAGGTCACTAGACTGTTCTGCAAAAAATCAGTTGATGCAGCTGTGCTAATTAAAAAGATAAAGTGTTCTGAAGGTAGGACTTCTTAGCATGGGCTCTGCTTTTTGGCTCTCAAAATAACTCCTTTGAAATTAATTTTGAACAAGCAGATTCAAAGTTATTATTGTCTTAAATGTTATCTAAAGAAAACGTGCTCAGTATATTTTACCTTCAGTCTTACTGAGGAATACAGTACCATCTCTCTGTGTTAGTGTGTCATAGTATAATCCAATATTACACATACATTATGTACAGCATGCTTTCAACATCAAGAAAATTAAAAATAGTAGGAGCAACTCTGGATTTGTAAATTCTAGAATTCTATATAATCTAGAATAATAAGTACAATATAAAAAAATGTAATTGAGACAAGTACAATATAAAAAAATATAACTGACAGAAAGTGATACTATAGTAGCTATTCAGGAAAGTTGCTTCATCATTAGTTCATGCTAATTTGCAAAATCATGATCAAGTCAGGTAAACAATCAGAACTATCAGATTAACAATTCAGAATTTTTAACAAGTTGCCCTAACTAGATTTTTTCTCCTTTTCCCTGCATTCTTTCTCTCTCTTTCTCCTTCTCTTGCAATTATATTCTTACTCATTTGCTGCCTTTCCTACATCCTGAAATATTTTAATTCCTTCTCTAACAGCTTTGCTAAGGAACAATGTAGTGCTTTGCTTTTTGCCCTGACACTCTGGAGAACGCCTTGTCATATCTTTATTCCACTCACAGTGTGACTGATTCTTCACTTACTTCTCAAGAGGGGAAAAGAGTAGGTGAAAGTAGCAGACAGGGATAAAAGCTTGCGTTTGGTTTCAGTTTTGCAGACTTACACACGCTCCCTTCTTTCTTCTCCCCCCTTCCTCTCTTCTTGCCTCCCTCCCCATCAATACTTAAAAAATCAGTCCCATTCATGTTGTGTGCGCACACACACTGAGAGAAATTACAGGCTCTCTGCTCCAGGTTGCCTTGACAACTTCAAGGCATCCCTGTGTAAGGGGACCGGTGGCACAGCAAAGTTTCCCAGGCCCCCTGGGGAAGGGGAGCGAAGAGGAAGAGAAGAGGCAGAGGTGCTGGGGGCAGCAGCGGTGTGGAGGAGAGAGCAGCAAGCAGGATGAAAGGGACACATACATCTCCTGCAGGACAATGGGAGTTTTGCTGGCTGGCTGTGAAAGGACAAACTGAGGATACAATGGTCTGTAACACATGAAAGCTTTGGAGCGAACTTTATTGCTTCTCCATTAAGGACCCTTCCAGAGTCTCATTCAGCTTTAAGAAATCTTGACAACATCTTAAAATTGAAAGAAAACAAATCCTTTTATTTTCTAATGTTTTAAAAACAGATTTTAAATATTTTTTTTTAGATAATTCTTGTTGTTGGTATGCAGGAAGCTTTTGCAGTTTTGGCCCTGGATGGTACCAAGTGTCCCTCTTGTGAGTTCCCTGAGTTCCCATTAGCTTCAGTGGGAGGGAAGTCTGCCCAGCAGACAGCTGCCCAGTAAGGGCTCTCTGAGGTGAGAACTTGCTTCCTTCTCATACAGCTTTTGTTCATACTTAGGCCCATCATCCCTTTGCTTTGCATGCTTGCTGCTATACCTGCCACTAGCAGTTAGAACTCAAGAAGAGAGGAATTGCTGTTCCCTTCTTTCAAGCTGAGCAGTCATTCATACGATAGCAAGGGCAGGAATGAGACTGAGCAACCCAAAATAAGGGGACATATAGTCACAGCCGAATCCATAACAGGAAATCAAGCTGCAAAGCAACTTATAAAGAAAAGAGCATGACTCTTGCTCCCTGACATATCACTTGCACGTGGTTTGCCACTCAATCCCAGATTCACTCCAAGAAGGAAATAGGATCACAAGCTCTAATCCTTCAATATATCAATCTTTAGTGGTAAGATGTGCCCTACACTAGTGATTTTTGGAGCATAGAAGACTCAACATAGTATCAAGTGTGGAGTACAAAGAAGGATCAGGCTTGGTTAAAGCAGTAAGAACATATGCCTGTGAACCCTCTTGACCAAGTGTGCTCAGCATCCTGAATCTATTGCCTGGCAAGGGCAGGATACTGGGAACTGATTTGATTTAACATCAGTGCATTTCCAAATCTTTCTACCAAACTGTATGGCTTAACCTTTTTGTGCTCAGTATGTAAATCAAGTTTAAAGCTGATCTTAGCTAAAAGTAAAAAAAACACACAGTCCATTGCTGCTACTTTAGAAATGGCAGGATAGAACATAAAACAGCAATTAAAGCATACAAAGATGAAGTTGACTGGAAGAGTATGCATGCATTAATTTTTCACTTTTAAGTTCCACTTTGTTTTAAGTTACATACTGATGCTTTAAAAGTAAAATTTGTAATAAATGTTGTCTGATATAAACATTGTGCAACTCTGTAGCAGATCTGAAATTCTCCAAAAATTAACTTTACTTTTATGCATTGGTTAATTACATTTGCATTATTTTGCATTTGCATTATTATGAAGACTCTATAAAAAATAATCTATCCTCCATCCACTGACAAGAGGGCTACAGGACTTACTTCCTGTTTGTAAAGATAAGAAAACTATTTATTACTTGGTAATATTTACCATTTTCCTCACAGAATTTCAAAACATCAGTGTAAACTTACCACAAGCATTATCATCCAGTTTTACAGATGGAAAATCTGAGCAGAGAAATGAAGGATCAAGGGCTTCAAATGTTGCATTTCCATTTTCAGCTTTTTACTGTGCCAGTAACACTTTGTTCTTCCACTACAATGGCACATGTAAATCAAGCAATTAAGGGTGCAAATCTAGTGATGTCCCTTTGCAATTCATTTTGTGGGTACAAATCTTAGTGGTTCTAATGGCTTCTGCTGAAAGGACATGCAAATGCTAGCTGAAATGAAAGGGTAAGTATGAAGCATGTGATTGGTTTTATACTTTGAAGATTGGTTTTATACTTGATCAGAGCCTGGAACACAGCCTTGATTTCAGTTACACCAGTGACTAGAGCACTTTCACTATAACACCAGTAGCACATATTTCCTCCATATAAAATTGAAGTACGATATATCTACAATGATTTGAGAAAACATTTAGTTTTGCCAGGTCATGATTCTAGTTTTATGTTTCCATATTATTTATATTCATGAAGTCCTGTTGCCTTATTTTAACTGCTTTGTCCTCTGAGACAGGTATGCAGAGCAGAAAGTGGTCAACTTTCATTATATTTTATATGTTCAAAGATGGCATCTAGGTAAATGTGTGGGCAGTCTGCAGAAGTCTGGATTAGACAGTGCCATATAGAGGTCCATGGGCGAACAAAGCGAAGCAAGCATACAGATCCTCATCTGACATCTTTTTTCATCCTGCACTTTGAAAGCTTGATTCCAACAAGAATCACCAGCACCATTTGGAGACAGGTGGTGTAGCCCTCCAGATAAAGTATGAGGAAGTTACTACTTGAAATTTTAAGGTGAAGGAGCAAAGGGACATTTTAAGGAGAACACTAACTGCACCTGTTAGGAAAGAGAGGGAGCATTTCCATCTCTGACAGTCCTTGTGAGACACTCCTCAGAGATTCAGAGCTCCTTCCCTGGCAGAACTGCACCTTCATTTAAAAAACACAGTGCAGCCTTATTGCTGCAATCTGTTGAACAAACACTTCAGCAGATGTCATAGTGAGCACCCTAGTATTCTCATTAGACCACATGCATTAAGACAAGCCAAGAATTAGGATTAATGTCTCAAGTTTTGCAAACCTTATAAAAGACTCTAAATGCTTATTCATACAATACTAAGGATTTTCTGAAACAAGCTAACAGCATTTAATACATTTTAAACTCCCATGGCTTGGGACAGAGGTAAACTAAGGTCATACCATTAAGGATTGAAGAAAAGACTTCATACATATTAATTGTAGCAAATATTATCAACATTACTTGACAGTAATCTGTTTTTTTTTCTTACTATTACAAATTATATGCAGCATATTTCTATGCTAATCAAAAAACATGAATTGGCTCACCGGAACACAGGGAGTGCCACACTGCATCAGACCTGTTATCTTTGCTTCTAACAAAGTGTTAGCAAATCACAGAAAGCTGTAACTCTTGTAATAGAAATTTATGTAATAAGTATTAGGGGTGGGATGGGAAGACAGTGGCAGTACGAGCTTCAAAAGTGGGCCAACTTACCTTGAGTAGCTTTAAATGTACTGGTCATCAAAACTCTTCCTACAAAACCATTTTCATCATGCTGAGTTTATACTCTTTACTTGCAACTGTATGAGGTAAATGTCCTTGTGCTTAAATTTACTAGGAATTGCTGCCCTGGATAGTAAAGCATCAGGGAAGATGGGAGTCCGAGCAGTAGTCTACTACATGAGTACTACGATCATTGCTGTACTGATTGGTATAATCATTGTGGTCATCATCCACCCTGGGAAAGGTACTAAAGAAAACATGCACAGAGAAGGCAAAATTGTGCAAGTGACAGCAGCAGATGCCTTTCTTGATTTAATCAGGTATGCCTATGATATTGTACATCTTCTGTACCAATAGAAGTGACAGTAATATTTAGATTCACACAGGAAAAAACGTAGAGAATTTCAGATAGTGGTAGCATAAAATAGCCAGATTTCTTTCAGCTATGTGATACCAATATCTCTAACCCCTACAATGCTACAAAAGAATATATGGATTTATTTTCAAATCAAGCTGTTGCAAGGCAAGAAACTGCTTTTAATATTCAAAGAAAGATTATTTCTTTCACGCACAAAATAAAGACTTCTGTTCTGCTATCTGCATGGGTCTTTCCCCCTCCTTCCATAGCACAAACCTTATTACCAAATTCCTCTGCTTTCCTTTACTTCCAACTTTCAACAGTTTTCTCACTTCACTTAAATCCCTGATTTAGCTATTCATCTTAATTTTGAATTGTAGCTGTCAATCTGGGTGCATCTACTCAACTTGTTAAATTGTATAGATGGGAAATAAGTTCCAAGAACAGGAAAACAAAATGTTCGACATAGAGGGGCATACATATAAAGTCTTGTTTTCTCCTTGCTCAGAGACTCTTCAATGCCTCTTTTATAGAGCTAATATGTCACAGATGTATTCCAGGGAGTAGGGAAGCTGAGGTTTTGAACTCGGGAGCTTTTCCACAGGTAAAGCCACCAAAATTTTGTGTTCCACTAATCCATTTGGAGAAGCCAGAGACATGGAGAAAGGCCTCCAAGAGTCATGCTGCCAGGAAGGGGGACTTCAGAAAGACCCATGAAGAGGTTTGCGCTCAGATTCCTCAAGATTTATTCAGTTAGGCTGCTTCTAATGCCCTCAGAAATGTCACCATTCTGGAAAGGAAAGAAACAAACCCCTATACTTAACAAGTATATAGACACATATATCATTATATGTGTATGTGTTATGAGTAAAGAATACTCAAACTTCACAAATATTTATTTCTTAATCACAACAAGATTCTAAATCAAGTGATAAATATCATGATGTACTAGGCTATGTGGCTACAAAAAATGTTTTAGAAGTAGAAATGCATTAAATATTAATAAATTATTTATTAATCTGGATTCAGAAAGCATTAATAAATACAAAATTAAAAGTCAGCACTGACTCACAGAGCTTTGTTCATTTGGTAATTTAGCTAATATTCTGCTCCATAACCATACCTACTATACAAGATTGGATGCAGAGATTGTAATTGCTAGGATCTATCCAACCCTACCACATTTCATCCTGATAAAGCTAACTAGACCAATTCTGTATGCAAAGCTCTACTCACTGTATACATAATTACGTATTTGTCTTAGGATTCCTTTGAAAATCAGCTGTTCAATTCTTTTATTATCTGTACCCCTACTTAAGATATTACTAGAGTCTTATTGCTTCTCATATTATTTTCTTTCTTTTTCACAGAAATATGTTCCCTCCAAATCTGGTGGAAGCTTGCTTTAAACAGGTAAAAATGTTTCATTATTTCCAACTAAAACATAACAAAGTAAGAAATTGAAATGTAATACCATTTCCTTTGGGAATATCATGTCCTTGTACTTACAGCAGAAACAAATCTTAAGTATGCTGCAAGACGTCAAAAAACCCAAATTAAATCAACCAAATCTGTGCTTTGTTTTCAATCACATTTTCCCAGTATTCGCTATGAGAAGTAAAGAAAACACACCTAGAACAGCAAATAAAAAAATAAGTTTTTTCAAAACATCACATTCATAAGTCTACAGCAGCTTCATTAAAGTCAATACAGAATTTACTTTTCAAAAAGAGTGTTATGTTAAACTGGGAGATACTGAGATACGCACCATCTGTACAAAGCCTGGAAAATATTCAAGAATGTCATGCAGGAAATGTGCATAGGTTCAAAACAAAGAAACAATTTTATGGACATCAGTAACAAAATCAAACCAGAGGACTTCCTGTCACCTATGGACAGAGTGCATAGGAACGCTCTTCCTATGTTGCTTCCCAAATTCCTCTATCATTAGCCTGGGCTTAACTTTAACTGTTCTACAGAGAAAATAATAGTAACTACTTACATTCCTTTTTCAAAAGGAAGACATTACAGATTCAGTGAAACCTATAATACGTATTTCCATAATCTAATTGCTTCACATTGGCCCCACAGACAATCTTGAACTGGTATTATTTACCAGTTATTGCTGTAGCAATAAAAAAAGATGCTGAAACATAGAGGTCAAGAAGCAAGAAGATAAAGTAGAAACTTTCCAAAGTCCAGCTGAGTTACATCTTGAAGGAGAATTGAAAAGAAACAGTAACATTTTCTTTAGTTATATAAACAGAGGCCAATAAAAATCAGTGACTATCTACATTGAAGATTTGGTCAAGATTGAAGATAAACTAGACTCAGGTCCAAAACCAACAAATGCTATGCCTCTGTTTTCAATAAGGATGATGATGAACTCAGGACAGTGATGCAGAAGAGCAGTATGGAAATACAAATGTCTGTATCTAAACTAGAAAACAAAATTCAAATAATTAAATGTAATAAAGTCAGAGAACTATATCATCTTTATCTCAAAATAATGAAGGAATTAAGGCATAAAATTACAGAACTAGCAGCAAATATTGTTAATAAATCTCTCAAGTTGGGAAATTATCTATAACTGGTGAAAGCAATCACAGTGCCTTTCAAATTGCAATTTCAAAAAGATTTGGGAATTGATTTAAGCAGCTAATAACCCATTATCTTGATCTCAGTTGTACTGAAGGATATAAGTACCATCAATGAAAGAGTAAAGACTTCATAATAAATGAAAATTAAAAATACATGAAAAGAAAAAAAAAAAAAAGATAAAGAATAACACTGGTTTCTGAAACATTGATTGTACCAGAATAACCTTATATCTTTCTTTCTCTCTTCCACAAGATTGGGGGTTGGGGGATTTTTTTTTTTTTTTTTACCACAGAAGTGCAATGGATCTAGTCTCTCTGGACTTCTGTAAAACAATTTTTTTTAATGTGAGGGAAGTGAAACAATTGAGCAGGGGATAAGAGTATTGCAAGAATTGTTAAATTTGTGAAGATAGCAATGGAAGTTGCTGAAGGACTAGGTGTACCTCAATTTATATTTTTCTGAATGACATTGCCATAAAATGCACACAATGAAATTTACAGATGTCAAGAAAATCCAAGCACTTTGTATTGAGATATCTAATAAATGCCAAAGAAGGTGGCATGTTTCTGACACACTGTAATACTATGAAGTTACACCAACAAAATGAATTAGCTCTTGCAGACATTGGCATATTAGGTTAACTCCCTATAGCTCTTCACCACATGTGAAATAAACATTTTAAAATTAACTGTAATTTCTGCTTTTAGATGGGAAGTCATCATCAGAAAGAAAAAAAAAAATAAACACCTTCCAATCCAGCTCTAGGATATATTATATGACATAGCTCCAATAAAGGAAATAAAGCCAGAAAGATGTGACTTTTTAAAATACTGAATATATCCCAGTCATTACATTCACAGGAGGAATCATGCAAATTGAGCACAATGGAGAGAGGAGTTGCTGGGATTATCAAAAGAACACAGCATATAAAGCAAAAAGAAGCTTGATTTAAAACCTATTCAGGCATAAAAACCAAAGTGGGAACAGAGCTGTATAAGATAAAGAAAAATGTTTTTACAAGAAGAAATTGAAATCACTATGAATGAATTTAAAGTGGTAATTAGTAAGGTTTTTAACCTTCATTACCTAAAATTTGAGGTCCTGGAAAAATCTTTGATTAGGAGTCGTGGGTACAAACTACCTCACCAGTTTTCAGATACAGCTTGAAAAATTCTTTTGCTAAGGTATGTTACAGCAATAGGAAACCTGACTCAGTGATTAGCATTCATAATTCTATGTTCTTAATTAAAGATGTCCTGCAGATTCTGTTTACATTAAGTATATTGTAGTTCCCATGTGCTTTACAGTTTGAAGGGATTTCCGAAAAATGGTTCAAAATACAGGAAATGCTTAATGAAAGTTTTTTCTGACTTTTAGCAGCAGCTATGCTTACTGAAGCACCAGGATTCTAAATCTGTCATACTGATACTATTACCTTTTGAATCAAGTACAAAAACCTAGATTTTTAGGTATAAGTTATTTTGTTGTAGCAGATTTGTTAAACTAAAAACATTTTAGAGGGGAAACAAGTATGTATAAGATTCATAGATATCCAGAAGACTTTGTACATCTGACTCCAAAACTTTATTTTCAAAAATTTACATCAGGTTTTTCATACTCTTCTCAGAAAATTTATGAAGGATGATCCACCTGGCACTAACCTGGTTCTGTAACACTGTTTTCCAGCTCAAGGACAAAATAGACTACTACTCATAGTCATCCTCACTCAAAGGCTTTGCACACCTGGAAACCATCATTGGCATATGCCATCCACATTCAAATCCCATCTTTTGATCTATTAGGTGCTCATGTTATGTCTTATAGCATCCTTAGGCATGTTTCTTTCCTGACAGAGATCTACACTGGAACCCACTGGAAGCTTTTTCCTTCTTTCTCACCATGGCCAGGAGACAGGTCCTCTAATGTCTGTGCTAGTACTCACAGCAAACTTTGAACCTGTTACCTTCCCCATTAATAGCACGCACTTCCTAAAGCAGCTCCACTAACATACAGGACCAACTATAATTTCCAAAGTTTTTAACCTCAAAAGATTAGCTACTACTCAGATTTTGTAACATCAAGGCATGGAAAACTACTTCCCTTTGCATAATTAATCTTAGTGAAGTTAGTTTTCTGGATGTGGAATTGCTCCCCTGTAAAATGAAATGGAGTTGTGTGGAGACGGTAATCAAGGTGGAGAGGGTTTCTAGGTGGAGTTGGGAAAGCTTTTTTAGGATTGCTGCTGGGAGAAGAATCATGAAGGAATACTGGGACCTTAGGACTTATTTAGGAAGGATCTCCCTAAATTTTCCACTGTTCATCATTCAGTCTATTGGTCCTTTGGATTCCCTTTCCTGTTCTTCTTTTCCAAAAAGTCTGTGAGGCAAACAAAGCTGCCCCTTCTTGCTGCTTCTTCTTCTCCTCCTCCTTCTTTGCACATTTTATTCCCCAGAAACAGGAAGAGTGGTTGAATAAAATGCCGCTTCCTCTCAAAAAAGGAACACCTATTGTGGATCCCAGAAGCCAGGAGGAATCCCTGTAGGAGGGAAAGAGAGTGCACAGAGAAGCTAATGGAAAACTTTAATTCAAACCTTTCAGCTGAGAATTGGCAGAACTGTTTCAGATTTAGCTGGTGGCATACAGCCCTGAGCCCCAAGAAAGTCGACAGGGACAGAGAGCCACCCTTGCCTAGCAGGTCAAGTTAAGAATGATCTGGAAAATGTTGGGCCTTAGTTTTACTCTGTTCTTCACTAGTTACTCCCTCTTTGTGAAAGGCCAAAGTCCCGTTGGCACCCTGTTTCTGTCGGGATCTCCTCCAATTAAAGCAGTGGCAGATAGGGATCACTGGAGACAGCAGATTGTTAATCCAAACAGCATACTTTCTGGTGCTGGTTATTTCCATATGACATACATTGCTACCTTTACTATGCACTGATCCTTGGGGGGCTTTTGTGATTTTTTTCAGTAACAAGAGAATCTGAAAAGACTGACTGCATATAAATATTCCACACTTACCTAAAACTAGATTACTTTGTTCAAAATTTTCTCTACACCACTATATTCACCCCCAGTTTAGGGACACCTAAAGAAATCTTTGGATGTATCTTTCAGCTCTGGCCATTATCTCTTCATTTCTCTTTCTTTGCCAGATTCAAAAATGCTATCTAGCCTGGGGCCAAGCAGTTGTAAGCAGTTTCCTTGTTAATCAGATACTGATTTTTAACTGCTTATTCTTTGTGCTGTACTTCGGGGATATATCAAAAGACAAAAGAAACACAAGTGAACTTGGGACATCAAAAGAAACAGAATCAGTCTAATAATTTGGGGAAGGTCATTCTATTGTGAATAGGTGGAATTTGATGCCAGCTGAAACTTAAAGAACTGGAAAGGTGCATCTGAAACTGCAATTCTTCTGAGCTATTTTCAATTAAATATTCTTCCCTAAATTCATCCTTAGCAAGGGGATTGGAAGTGTCAATCACACATCCAGACATGAATGCTTACTAATATATGCTGTCTATTCCTCATGAGAATTTTGGCTAGTTAAGATATAGTTTAACCTGTGTCATCAGCTCTTCTGCAAAAAATTTAGAACGCTTTCCCACATGTCCATATGGAAAGGAAAGAAAGAAAAAAATAATTAGGAAGATGGAATATTACTGCCTTATTTTAATTTTTCATTTTTAGGGCTTGCATTTAAGCAAACTTCTTACTTTTAAAATCATCATTCACTAAAAAATACATCATCATACAGATTTAGCACAGACAGTGCTCATTATACTATCTCAGATTACTGACAGTAAATTATGAGTTTTCAGAGCAGTTACACATTAAATTACTTTGTCTGCAAGTTAACCACTAAAATGTGCTTCTGCCATGTTATAATGTTGCTTCTTAAAAATTCATGCAATATATTCAAGTCAAATAACTGTGAGTATATTGTACCACTAATGAAAACAAAATAATAATAGATGTGTAAACAACTAATTCATTATATCATGCAATAAAGTAATGATATTGTCTATTTTAAAGTTGTTTGTTAGCACCATGTCTTATAAAAAAGTCCAGAAAAGACATTATTTCTTTATTTTTCTTGCAGATAAGGTTGTTCATATAAAGCTATTAGTAATAATACATTCCAAATAACATTTACCTTTCTCCTAACTTGTTTTCTATACATGAACTTAAGGAAAAATTACGATTTGGATCTAGAATCTGACCAAGCAAAAAAATACATCTGCCTGGAGGAAAAATGCACCCAACATCCTCAGAAATAACAGGACTTCAGTGATGTTGCCTAGCCCAACACAAATTATCAGTGTAGGTGTGTGGATTTCTAGTAAAATGAAACCAACTCTTCTGAGATCCTTAAGCCTACAATCTGTTATATGAACAGTTTTTCTTTGTCTAATAGCTTCATTGCTGAATTTTGCAAAACAACGAGGATCTGCAGAATCACGTTGTGATATTAAAATCTCAGTTTGAGCTACATGAACAGCTGATAACTCTGATTCCCACCAAGATAGAGCTCTGCATGAGTGTAGGAATCTCACACAAGCTCACAAAATGATCTCTTACCACCAGTTTCTCTGCCAAGCAGTAATAGTCAACTCTGCTATTACCTCATCTATTTCAAAACCTTTGATATTTTCTACCATCTTGAAAGTGGTCTTTCATCCTATCACTTCCTATAAACAGCTGGCTTTTAAACCACATTACACACAGAAAATCCATTTTGTGGTTGTCAAGCAATCTTACATTTTGCCTTTAGTGTCATCTGAAAAAGCAGTAACAAGAATAAAGTTCAACCTACACTTTTTCTTTAGTAGATATCTCCTCTGCATTCCCCATATTTGGTTTTCTTTAATTTCTTTTGCTTCACCAGGAATCTTCTCATGACTTTTGATAGACAACTTTGGCCATAAGAAGACAGATGCATGCACAGAATGATCCTTAACCTCATTTAGCAATAATGAAAGAAAGGTTTTCATTCTGACTGTCTCAGAGCAAATAAAGTTGCTCTGATTCTTGTTGCTCAGATTCCCATTTTGAATCTCACTGTAAATAAACTGTTTCTCCATTGCTCTGGAAGGGGTCCTAGAAAGACTATTCTCCCTAGTAACATTTCTGAATACATAAGTCTGACCAACAGTTAGTCAACAGATAAAATCTACATCTCTGTGTACCAGTCTAGTAGCTGAAATGGAAACAGACTTTGCTAAGTGAGGTCCTAAAATCCATATTATACTCCTAAAGAGACTTCACTAATAAAGAATTAAAGGCACCTTCCTGCTGAGACAGAATTCCAGAATTGGCACAAAAAAAAAAAAAAAAAAAAAAAAGGAATATGCTTATTGCAACCTAAAATTATTTCTAACTGGGTTTTTTAAAGGTAAGAGACTTCATGTGATTGCACTTTCTTCCCGATAGCTGCCCAAATTCTTCTCAGTCTCCCGTTGCAATTTTTGAGCCCAATGGCCAATTCCAACTTAATTTAGCAATAAGGGGGCAATTCTCAGACAAATCAAGACTGTGCTGCCACTGAAAGAAAAGTGGTTTATGACATAGCTCGTGGCCTGCTCCAACAGGCAGCAGCCAACCAGCCAGGCAGCACACATCTAACGCTGTCTAACAGCCATATCACGTGTGGCTTTGGCCTGGTCAAATAGGTAGGAATGAGAGAAGGACCTGAGGGTAATGGAGGGGAATCAGGACAAAGTCAGTTATGATGTATCTAGGGAAAGTAGGAAATGACTAGGAAATTTAGTAGAAAATTAGGCTTTAATTCCAGTCTTCATTAAACAGCTTGCCTTTTTATTTTTGTCAAATCTTTATGCCCACAAGTCCAGCATAATTACTCCCTTCAGTTATTTACATTAAAGAATTTTTACCTATTTTTTTAAACTGAAAAATAGTAATAAATATATATATATAACACAGCTACCATACCTGTATGCATAAAAAATAAATAACTAAAGTGTTCCATGTACAGTGTTATGCAGTATTTTAGCATTCCCATCAGGACTGAATTAAAAACCCTTTAGTGAAAATTTCTAGCAAATCTCCATTTCCACTCTAATATCTCTCTGTCACTTAAAGAGGCAATCCCATCCCTCCTTCCCTGGCTGTGTAGTTCCAGTTTCAGTGGTTTGCCCTCTCTGGCATTCATCAGTCAGTGAGCTGATTCACCTCCATAGTCTTTGCCCAAAAATCGCCACTTTTTTTACAGCGAGCTTTCTGCCAATTTAAAAAGATTTGGCTCACTGGAAGATCAAACTGGAACAAATTATCACCGGTTGGATGTGAGTGGGTGAGGGAGTGGAACTGGCCTTTAGCACGTCAGTGAACTGTTTCAACAGATCACCTGTCTCCTCTAACCACAGCCCAAATCTTAAAACATTTTAGCAAATTTTGTTTAAAACTTAAGAATATCTGACCTCCGTGGAGATTTTTTCTGCTACATCTTATTCAGCAACTTTCCATAAATCTCCTGTAAGCAAGTTTTATTTAAAATTCTGAAGGACTTAAAGCCTTCAGGGGGATGCAGTAAATATGTGGAAACAGTGCATAAAACTATTCAGGTGTGGAAAGTAACAGAAAATTAGATCAGTGTTGATAGATGCTGATACTCAGCTTTCCCATTTTAGTCATAAGTGCTCCATTTCACTCAAATACTTATGGAGTGCACAAGTCTCCAGATATTACTAATAATAATACAGCTCCTAGACTTAATATTTGTCTTTTGTTGGTAGACAGAAAGCCATAAAAATTCAAAGTTGCTGAATAACCTTGACACCAGCATCCCACTGCTTTAAAGGGTATTTAGTGTCCTGAGCTATATTGGAAGCATTTTACTAGTGATATTTAGTATTTGTGTTCAAGAGAATTTAATCAGGACAGGGCTGCAAGGCCTTTTGAGCTCAGAGAGAAATATTCAGGATGCACATTTCTCTTAGGAAAAACATTAGGTGGTGAAAGACTGGTTTTCAAAGTAGACATTTAGGAGCATATTGAGATTTTGTAATTGATTTGCCAATTCCATAATGGAACAATTTAAGATAGAACCCTTTTCTTAAGTAAGAAAAGTGGTGATTTGTTACTCCAAAGCATAGAAAACTAATGGCTTTGCAATCACAAAGGAAAAAAGAGTGATATTTAAGTTACTTTCAGTCTAATTTTTTCTAATTTAAAAAGACTAAAAGGTAGGGAAACTCCAGAGCACATGAAAATATTTAGAAGACGACCTATTTATTTAATAGTTGGAAATATGTTGTTGGGAAAAATAGCAATATCTAAGAATGCAAACTAAGAATCAACAGTTTTGTCCCAAAACTCATGAGCATGACAAATCCGTGTCTTTGATTTTTACATATTTGTGAGAAAATGAGTTCTGGAAGCTAAAGGTGAAGATTTAGCTCTTGAAGTTAATATGGACTTTTGTTGCTTTCAGGAAAGCCAGTTTTTCATCACAGTATATTTTACCAACAAATATTACATGAAGAACTCAAATGTCCTACAACAGTAGTTAAAATTTAATGTGTGATTTTTACATTTGTTTGCTATAATTCACAGAATTCCTATATTTCTTTTTTTTGTTGTTTTTACAGTTCAAAACTAACTATGAGAAGAGAATGTTTAAGGTAGATATTCCATCCAATGACACATCCACAGTGGCTTCCATAATAAGCAATGTGTCAGAAGCAATGGAAACCCTCACACAGATGAAAGAGGAAATAGTTCCTGTTCCAGGTTCTGTAAATGGAGTGAATGCCCTTGGCTTGGTGGTTTTCTCAATAAGTTTTGGCCTGGTGATTGGAAGCATGAAGGAGCAAGGTCAGGCATTAAAAGACTTCTTTGATAGCCTTAATGAGGCTATCATGAGATTGGTAGCTCTAATCATGTGGTAAGTGGCTCTTTGATAAAGTCCGTTTTAAGCTACTAACAATATCTTCATCATAGTCAGGTACTGGATAGCAAGACTGCGTTTGGCAGGAAGTCAGGCAGTAAGTTCCTAACTACCTTGTAGCTTTTTTCATAAATGAACCCAAGAACTGTAATTATGTATGCCAATAATTTACCCAAATATACCAACTCTTTCAGTGTTTTTAGTTTTTGACATAAGAAAAATCAGATTCTATGGCAGAAACTGCTAAGCTTATAGAGCCATTCTATGTCTTCATAAAGATAGCAATCACAACAGTATGCTATCAAAGTTTCCATATATCCTAATCTGACTTCACTAAAGGAAACTGACAACCTTCTCCCATAATCTTATTTCTACACAGCAAGACTTTGTTACCATTAATTTCCAACACAACTGTTTTCTGCAGTTGTGTAGTGTATATGTATGTTCTTGCATTGTAGCTGCACTGCTGACACATACATATAGTCTTCTTACTTTCTTTACTGTGTTCAATAGGTAAATAAAACCAATACCTTTTCCCTCAAATATTAGCTATGAAGTCTTTTCAACAATGAGGATTAGTAATTTGTCTGGTATAATGTTAATTATGAAAAGAAATTATGACTTGTTGCCTCCTTTACTATAGAAAATAAACAAACAAATCAATTCTAAAAGCCTACCCAAGACCACAGACACATGTGTTACAGTACTATATACAAAACTAAATTATATTTTTTCCAGTAACTGAAATTCTATTCTGCCAGGAAACATCTACAAAAAGCAAAAATCTTTTCTCCTTCTTTACAAGCACACATAAGTTGACAAAGCAGTGGATGGGAATTGTTACTTCTGAGAAATTTCTACATGGATTTGATGGCTTAAAGTGCAACTGAGATATGCTGGATAATTTTTGTTCTGTGGTAATTTAGTGTGAAAAGACAAATTGGACATTTGTGGAAATAAGGCTGTATCAGAAGTCCAGCTGCAGCAGAATTATGTTAGTTTTATGTCCAGCACTAGCTCCTTCTTTATCTGTAGCTGTGCTTACTGATAGGAAAAAGCAGATAATACCACCTTTGCTGCTGCCCCATAATGCAGCTAACATCTGTCATATAGATGACTTCATGATAAAGTAGTTATCCAGTGCCCCATGGGATAAAATGGGGCATGGGCAGAAGCATCTTGAAGTCATTGGAAGTTATTAGCCTTCTGTGTGGGTTCCTTCACCAACGACATGGGAAACAGCACTGGCAAGACAATAGAACTGAGCACTTGGCATTGTCTAAAAATGCACTGGCTGAGCCTTCGTTCACACAGACAGAATTATAGCATAATTGGCTAAACTAGCTTTTAAATTACACTTGAATTGCAAAGGGAGCTCATATCCCTACATGTCTGAAAGGCATGCTATATACATCTTGAAATCCTTACCAGATCCTGAATCCAATGGGGCCTATCAGAAACATTCACTGCTGTGATTTAATCCATCTTTAACTGTTAAGAGTAAAGGAGTTAATCTTTTGAACTGCTTCTGAATACTTACAGTCATCCTAACAGTGAAATCCTACATTCACGCATGAATATAAACACAAAAGGTATGGATGGGGGAGTGAATTTCTACTTTGTCAGTACAATATTGATTTGATTTCTTATTTTCAGGTATGCTCCACTTGGAATCCTCTTCTTGATTGCTGGAAAAATTGTTGAGATGGAAGATATGGGTGTGATTGGTGGTCAGCTTGCCATGTATACTGTAACAGTTATCATCGGTTTGCTAATTCATGCCGTTATTGTCCTACCTCTTCTCTACTTCCTGATCACTCGCAAGAACCCTTGGGTGTTTATTGGAGGCTTAATCCAGGCATTAGTCACAGCTTTGGGAACATCTTCCAGGTATAACACAATATGTTAAAGCCATATTGTTTTTATAATATTACTGGTTTGAGAAACAATATTGCCTAATGTAATTGGTTAACTCTGTATTCAGGTGTTCACTTGGGCACTTCATTTCAGTTTTGCTGCTTTCGGTTAGAGATAATTATTATCTTTATATTGACTTGAACTCTATTTTCTACAAGAATCCCCAAACAGAGATGAAATGAGTCTGGTGATGCAGACTGCATGGCTGGAACCATTGTGACTTTGGTTAGCCTTGGTATTTGAGATTTTTAAGTAGTTTGTAATGGCTTGCTGGTAAAGGGTGCAGCTGGCAAAGGATATGCATGGCATATGCTGACATTCTGTGCCCAAAATCCTGAGAGCCAGTAATGGATATACAACCTGCGACAGAAATGCCACTTTTGCTCTTTGTTGGAGTCATAGGTATGTCATATGAATAAAAAATCTGTTTGCATCTATGATGAAAGGAAACATTATTGTAATTAAATACACATTTCTATACCATATGACCTTTCATAAACCACTTTTCACATTAATAGATTTTTAAAATGTCTCCTAAAGGCAGACGTTTTAAGTCAGACACTCTGTATTACTAAATTCAAGTCCCTGGTGTTTGGGATTATTCTGAAGATCTGGATGAGAATGTGTTGTGACCATTCTTGAGGGCTTAAAAAAATCATGGCAGTACATTAATGGGAGGAGAGAGACAATTACTAATTTCACATTTGATATTTTGATGTCAATCCTTGCAAATTTGTGGAATGCTTAAAAGGGAATTTTATTAATAAATATTTTTAAAAGAAGACATTAAAACTAACGCCAGTCAGCATAGTTTAAGAGAAAATAAAATTAAACTACAACTTTGTTGGGTAACAGTAATAGTGTTAGGAGGATATGTTCCAGCTTCTGTAAGACATTCTACTTGGAGGTGCTTAAGATTCTCAGTAAGAACCTAGTTTGATGCAAGAGAGCATACTATACTGTGAGCGGCTACAAAAGCTGTTTAAAATTCAACTGTAAATTGACTACCATCAAAGAAATTTTTCTGGCACAATCTTTCACAGCCCTTCTTTACTTTACATTTTATCAGTATTTCATTTTATCAATATTGATAAAGTTTTCAAATACATTAAATTCTGTTAAGTAGTTAGCAATGGAGAGGTCATTGAGACAGAGTAGTTTGAATTGCTGGGTCTTCTAAAACCTATCTACTTTGGTTTGATCAGATGAAGAGATACATCTTTAAGAACAAAGTGCCCAGGCAGGTCTTATACAATGGCCACATTATCCTTCCTTCTGAGGTAGTGTCTCTGAAAAGGAACTTGGTGTCGTGGGCTGAATCGGCACTCCTGTAGCATATGAAGCTAAAATGTCTTGTTGGATTGGTGTTTAAAAGAGCAAGATTAAGTGATGTACAGGGCTTGGCTGGGACAGAGTTAACTTTCTTCAAAGCAGCTCATATGGTGCCAGGTTTTAGATTTGTGACCAAAATCACACTGATCACGTACTGATGTTCTAGCTACTGCTGAACAGTATCTGCACAATGTCAAGGCCTTCTCTGTTTCCCATCCTGCCCCCCTACAGTGATTGAGGGATGCATGATAGGTTGGGGGGGAATGCAACCAAGCAGATGACCTGAACTAACCGAATAGATATTCCATTCTGTATACATCATGCCCAGCAATAAGAAGGGAAAAGAATGGATTTTAGGGAGGTACTTGGGAACTGGCTGGGGACTGGTCAGCCTGTGGGAGGTGATGAGTCTGTGCATCACTTGTTTTATCTTGTTTTGTTTTCTTTCTTTCTTCTTCCACTTATTCGTCACTTGTTAAACTAATTTTTTTCTTTTTTTAAATCTCAACTGCTGTGTTTTCTTGCTTTTACTGTTCCTTTTCTCTTTGCTTGTTCCACTCAGCGTGTGGGGGCAAGTAAGCGAGTGGCTGCATGGTGCTTAGCTGCCTACTGGTGTTAACCCACAAGTGGTAATGTAACCATCCATCAAAATGCCAGTAAATAAATAAGAGAAAACATACTGTTTCCTGAAAGCTTTAATAGATCAATTTGTATAACTTCAGGAAAGCAATGCTTAGGGATGATTCAACCATAACTCCATGACATAAAAAATGAGAAGTGGGAATTTTTAAAGGTTCCTCTGCCTAGCAAAAGAATCTCATGACATAATACTGAAGTTAAACACATTCAGACTAGGGACCATACAGAGAGTGACAATAATTAACCATTGCAAAAATTTTCCAAGAACATTAAGAGAACCTCCATCATTAGAAGTGTTTACATTCAGCTTTTGCATTTTTTAAACAAATATTCTGGTAGATCACATAAAAATTAAGACAGACAGAACAATCCCTCTTGTCATCACAATGCATGACACTCTTTTCATTCCCTCTTTGCAGAATTTATGTCATATAGCACCTTCTTTCTTTTTGTTTCAGTTCTGCAACACTACCTGTTACATTTAAGTGTCTAGAAGAAATAAATAGAGTGGACAAACGAGTTACAAGATTTGTACTCCCAGTTGGTGCTACAATTAATATGGATGGAACTGCTTTATATGAGGCTTTGGCTGCAATTTTCATTGCACAGGTTAACAACTTTGATCTGAACTTTGGGCAAATTATCACAATCAGGTACAGAAGCCATTGTTACCTACATCTAATAAAAACATCTTTGTAATGACTCCTTCTTGCTGTTATATGTGGGATTAAACAAAAGCATCTAGAGCTAAAAACAAGAACTGCTACAGTAGCTGAATAACTGTAATGATTTACAACACAGAAGAGGGCCCCCAGTGCGTATTGTTCATTAGGTAAAACTTTATAAAACTGTAACCTGACACAACTATCCCTGAACTTAGTAGACTCAAGAAGAACAGTTTTTAATTACTTTTAAATTTTCTTGAAGAACTCATGTAGCTGTTAGGAGCTACAGATTTACAATCAGTACCAGGTAGTTTATAATGCAGGTAAAAAGCAGTAGCATAAAAGTGTCACAGTGCTAATGCCAGAAGAGGTAGTGTTTTCCTAGTCCTGATGGTCTCAGGATACGAGTAGACCAAGCTGTGTAAAGAGCAGTAATACCTTTTATTACACTAGCTGATAGCGGTAGAGAAGATAGGTATGTTTTCAAGCTCACAAGCCTTCATGTTTGAAATAGAACAGCAAACAACCCACTAAGTAGCACTCAATGATAACTGATCTGCATTAACTTCATTATGTTACTCAAACAGTTTAACAGAAAAGGGTGATGGATACATGTGAGAAGAAAGAAATGTCAGCAAGGGAAGAGAGGGACACTGTAGGACAGAAAAACATGTATTTATCACTCAGGAACGCTGGAAGTTCAGATATGGTAAACTGGGAACATAGAAGATTTTCAAGTAAAACCCACCATCTTAATTCAATATCCATTAACAGAAGGCAAAATTCTGCCTTCACACTCCAAAGCAATAGTTCTACATTCATTAGTATGAGAGCTGCTCCCTGCCAAATCACCTGACAAAACAAATTCTTCCTAAACCGGGTGTGAACAAGGATATTTCTATCAAGTTACTAGACTGTATGATTCAGGGATTCTGGCAGCTTTCTGTTTTCTGATGGCAGAATGCCAACTGCTGGAGGACAGATACTTCACCTGGCATGAAATTATAGTGAGATGGACAGAGAATAAAAATTCTTGCATTAGATCTGCCAGGACAAAATTACCTCCTCAGCTTTTCTTTTAACATGTTTGAGCTTGTGAAGTGAGTTTGTTCAATGGGTGGGGGCATGTAGCTATAATGTTTTTGTCTGGTCCTTAGCATCTAGTAGAGGATTTACCACCAAACAAAACCATGTTTCAAGGGTTCTGGATAAAGGTTTAGTGTAAACATTTTGGATTAAGATCCATACTCCCCTGCAGCTATGCAGTGTTCAGATAAGAAACTCGGCTCATCTTTTTATTTACTACTGAACAAATGCATTCTTGCTTCATATCTGGTTTTAATGTTTGCCAGATGATAAGGAGAGTTTATTACGGAAGTCAATTAATTGCTCTTGCCATCTCTTTTCACAGCATCACAGCTACAGCTGCCAGTATTGGGGCTGCAGGCATTCCTCAAGCTGGGCTGGTCACCATGGTCATTGTGCTTACATCAGTAGGCTTGCCTACAGATGATATCACTCTTATCATTGCAGTGGACTGGTTCCTGTAAGTATTTTTATGGAGTCACTAAGGGCTTAGAATATATTTAGAAGTGCAACAGCCAGGGACATTCTGGCAATACCGCGATCAGTGGTGTAGTTCTTTTGCTGTGGAAGGCAGTTGGAAAGAAGGGATAAAAAGAATCAGAATTTCTTGTGATTAAGGTATTTTCTTAGAGCAGATGGTGAGGGGTGTTACTTAATGATAGTTCCTCTTGCATGCAAAAGGGTTACTTAGAAACCTGGATCCTTAGGGTTCTAAGAAAACTTTCAGACATACTGTAATTGCTAACAAAGAATTACTTCAGTCTTCTGTTTTTTGTAGAATGGCAATGCAAACCTTTCCATCCATCAAGTTCAGAGCTGGTTCAGATCTGACCCAGTTCACTGCAGTCCTGCTGACTATCTAATCTAGGAAAGATTTAAATGTCGACCCCATGGACGCAGAAATGAAAAACAGTTGTGTAACTCTCTTATCCAGCCACCACAATGTATTGCCCCTCAGTTTTTCCATTCATCTGTCTGTAGAAGGCTCGCTGACACCTGTAGGTATATGGAGAAATCCCTTAGGTCTAGGAACTAAATCAAAGGCAGAAGGTTTCCTCCAACCTCTATTTCATCTAACTCCTATTAGTTATAGTTTCCAGAGGCTTTTACCCTTCAGTCTTCTCCAGTGATCCCTGCAAGAAGTTGCCAGTGTTGTTATCAGAAAATAATGTCTTCAAACAAATATCTAACCACATGCCCACAGCCTTATGTAGGTGGATGCTTATCAAGTAACAGTTACAGTCACTCCTCGTCAAGTTGCCTCCCACATCTTCTGGGCAGATTTGTCTAGCAGGGCTGAATTGTTGTAGTTTAATTTGAACTATTTCAGCACAATTCCACCATAAATTACTGTAGTTTATGGTCAGGAAAGAAATGACCCTAGCAAGGTAGATTCTCATTGGCTTACTTGTTCAGAGGATATAAACCCAAACCACCAGAGAATAGAAATGCCTCCAAGAAGCATCTGCCATATGGTCCATTTACTGTCCTCATCACACAGCTGTTTTTTGCCTAGAGTATTAACACCTTTGGTGACTCCAAACCTAGAATTTTTGTTCATTTCTGCAAAATAAAACATGGCATTAACAGTTCAGATAAATGAATATACCTAAAATAGCTGAATCATCTAGGAGTTATTTAAAAGTCATTTTTACAGCTAGTCTGCATACTTCCCTCAACAAGTGGTAAAATCAAGGCTAACTTAAAATTTCTCCTTAGGGATCGTCTCCGTACCACCACCAATGTCTTGGGAGACTCCATCGGAGCAGGAATTGTTGAACATTTATCACGACATGAGCTGAAGAACAGGGATGCTGAAATGGGTAATTCTGTGATAGAGGAGAATGAAATGAAGAAACCATACCAACTGATCTCACAAGAAAATGAGAGTGAGAAACCATTAGACAGTGAAACAAAGATGTAGGGTAAACAAAGCATAAGTCCAACACTACAAGTGTGGAAAACACACGCTTTTTCCAGCCATTTATATCTTGAATTCACCAAGTTCACTTATTCCTTGATTGCTCCCTTTATGCTAGCACTGGAAAGAACTAATGAAAATACGTTCCAAATTAGCAGTGATCACAGTAATTGTTTGCTTCCCACTTACAAAAAAAATAACAGGCAACAACACTGGTCCTGCTAGACATGTGCTAACTGAGGACAAAAAAAGAGATTGTCAATTAAATAAAAACAAAAGTCAGTGTATATGTTACTCACACCTGTGAACCTATTCTTTTTTTTTTTTTTTTTAATGAACTGGAAAGTAAAAACAGATAACAGAGCCTGAAATGGTTTTATTTTTTTAAATACCTATTGCAAAATTCCTAACATCTATAAACACACAATCAATACTTCAAACCTGATAACAGTTAAGTAAATTAACAGGATTTTTTATTTTTTATCTGAAATTTTTTTTCTCATCTGAAATTTTATTTCTCTGTTATTACATTGTTGTTCAAATACTAGCAGGACAATAAAAAGGACATTAATTGAAAGGATAAAAAGGGGATATAAATTAAAAAAAAAAAAATACCCAAATCAGCACTTTTATCAGCTGAGTTGAAATATTTTTGAGAAAGTTATTTTGTCTAGACACAGTTTTTGCATTAGCCTCAGCTGATCTTGACAAAAACTTAGCTTAGTCAGCTTGCACTGACTTGCAAACATTTATGTATGTGTGTATGTATGTACCTCCAATGTGGATTTGCCCCCTTCATTTCAACATCACAACCCAGCTGAACAATCGTATGTGTGTAAGTGTTTGTAGGAGCAAGGCCATAGGCTGTATTGACTCTGGGACAGAAAATGTGTCTTCATCTCTGTTTGGAAAAAACACATAGCATGCCCTGGGCACACCAATTATCTACTTAATAAGCAATAATAAGAATAGAAGGCAGTGCCAGACTTCTGCAGAAGGTGCAGAAGGGTGGGATTCTCAGATCCTAAAGGGACTGGATTCTAAATATGAATCCCTGCGACCAACAGGAGGTCTTCTGACTGGAAAGTTCCCAAATGCTTTGTGATCTCACTGATAAGTTGCATAGCTATTATCTGGATTTACATTTTTCCATCTGGAGAAGAAGGTTCCCTAACTCAATGGGAAATTTTGAAATCCTTGTGTGTTTATCAGTAGCATCTCAAAAAGAAAAGATAACCTTTTAGAAAGTAAAATTAATGGGTGTCTTTTTTGTTTTTACTAGGAAAAAAATATAAATTGCATAATGGTAAATAATATAATAAATGTTGAAATTTTAATTAGAAAGAATTTTTAAACTCAGTATTTTAGGCTTCCTTCAGGGAAAAGATAAGGAAAGAATGAAAAAAGGGAGACAATGCACGTGTAAGCCTAGGGCTTTTTTTTGTTCATTTGAAGATTAGTCCCTGATTAAGCCCTTTTCTAGAAATATAAATTATGTATTTTTTACTTTACTCCTGACCATTTTCTGCAGTTGAGTAACCCAGACAATATGAGCAGGAACTCTTCAGTGAATGAAGTAAGCAGGGTTTAATACAGAGTATTGAGCAGTCAAACCAACGAAGCTCTAGATGAATCTCTGAAAAAAAAAACAAATGGGGGCTGTGTGTGTGTGTGTTTGCTAACAGAATGCAAATCTAGGGTACAGACAGGCATTTTCTGATATGTAATTAGAGATATTTTTATATAGATACTGTATTCAGAATGTGTGTATAAACATTAACTGTAGAATTTATGACATAACAATTTAATTTTTTGTTAAGATTTTGTTTGGAAATACATTGCAAAGACAATGTAAATGGCTGTCTTTCTATGACATCAGCTGAGAAAAATGAATTGTGTCACAAAGAATGTGATCTTTTTTTATACTAACTTTGTTTCTTATGGAAATCAGGTATTATAGAAAGATTCCCTTTCCCATCCCTCACTGGTTCTGCATTGGTATGCACCCAGAGTGGATTGAGAAACATTACTTTGTAGATGTATTTTCAATAAAAATAGTTTTACATTACTGCTTTGCTGTGATTTAGAATTTCTTTCAAAGGCTCTATAATAGAAGTTTCACACAAACTCAGAGCTGACAAACTCACAACATGGGATTTCAGGAATTCCAGGCCATTTTATACAGCAGGGCTTTGATATAACATAGCCTCTTCACCTCAAATACCTGCTTACAGCTTCATGATCAAAAATAAATAAGTAAAGGGGGGGGATGGAGGAACATGAAAAATTAAAAAAAAAACAATCTTCATTCTACTTAAGTTCATTTAAGCTGAAGTATATAAATTCATACTGGTACCTGCAAAATACTAAAAAAAAAAAAATAGTGTTTCCATTTTCATTGATTCAGCTACTGCAAAGCTGCCAGTTCATTTTGGGTGTATAATTAAATGGTTCAAAACCCCCGTTGACTGGGGTATTACAGTGTTGTAACATTACAGCCATCAGCCATTACAGACAGTCCACTGTTTTTCTCACGGAAGTCATTTGTGATGGTGTCAAGGTTCATTCGGCAACAACTTCAGCTAGCAGGTATCATCTAATGGAAGTGAATGTCTTGTCAGAAAGACTGGGAAGGTATAGAAGATATGCGCTGAATCACTTGTATATGAAAAGTTGTGTTGGTTGGAGCAGATGGAGGTAGCAGGGAGAAGTCCTGACTCCCTGAACATACACCAAGAAACCACTAGACAATTACTTCTATTAAATTGTCTGTGGTATTTTGAGTGAAAATAATACATACTGCAACCAATTTATTGAAAATAATTTTCAGAGAAGACATGACATTCTAAAGTGCATGAGCATAACTCCTCTCAGGTTTTTTTCTAGACATCTATACATTCATTCACTCAATCCATGTAAGTATCTTTGTGCTTTTAGAATTGCTTTCATGATGGGAAGAGCTAAAGAAATTGGGTTAGTGTATCACTTGGAGATATTACTGGCACAGTGGCCTTGCTTACACTTCTGTGCTCCCAGGCAGGATAAAGATCTCTGGTATTCCATAATTTTTCAGCATTATTTTCATTTGGGGTGCAAAATAGCCATGCCACTCTTAGGCAAGAATTCATATCTTCATAACAGTGTGTGACAGGTATAAAGCAAAGTGATCATGTATTTGGAAAATCAACTGCTGGCACAGGAAAGTATTTCTGTCTTCCCTTCTGAAGGACTCAATATTCACAAGTGACATTTGTGTTCCAATTCAGGCACAACTGACATGAAATTTAGGGTATTTTTTTCCAACTAACCTGTGACACATACTTGGTTTAATAAAGTTACAATGGAAATGGTACAGAAGAGTGTATCTTGCTTTTAGCATGATCAACTGTGTGCTAGTTGTGCTGGTTGTGACCAACTTGCTTCTAGTGTGATCAGCCATTTCCCAGAAGAGGATGAAAAATCTGAGATGAACTGATAGATCACTCCCTGTCTGGATTTCTGTGTCATCCTTCTAAAGAGATTGGCTTACCCAGGAGTAAGATGGAGGAAGTCTCTTGGAAGATGATATTAAACTGAAAACCCAGACTTGCAACATCAGTGAGGCAGCAAGATTCCTTCTGATAACAGAGTTGTAGCCAGATGATATAATCTTGCATGGTGCATCCTTTCCCCTCTTCCCCCACCTGGCTCCTCAGATGTCTCTAAAATACACAGAGCTATTTAAAAATCCAAAATTTTAGTACAGGACCACTTACTTCTCTAACCAAAGTTTTTCTTCAATGTGCTTCATTACACAGCTAGGGCTGCACAAGTAATAGATTTTTCACTTCAGTGAGAGAACTAAAAAATGAGGGAAAAAAATTCTTCCAGGGCATCATGAAACAATTTTTTTATTGCTTAAAAGAAAAGGAAGAGGCTCTTTCAGGTATAATGAAATGCTTCATTCTCCACTTCTTGAAACATCCTTTCTCACTTCCAGATCGCTTTTACTCTATTTTAAATTAAAATAAACTCAGCTGTAAAATGACTTGTAACTCAGAAATAAAGTACTGAACCATTTTGCTAAGGAAATGTCAAAATTAAATATTTCAACTTTTCTATAATATCTCCTCACTTTAAAGCCAATTGTATTTACAGAAGTTGGCACAGCTTCACAAGTACTTGCCTCAAAAGTGCATTTTTCAGCAGTGTACTTTTACATTAATGCTTTTTCTTTGCCCTTTACAACTTAATTACTCCAGATATTGAACATTTTTCTGCTTTTCCTGATTGCTTATATTTTTTCATTTTACTATTGGCTTCCTAAGAGCTTTTTAAAACTCCTGATATTTGATAAAAATTATAAAAACCAACTCCTTCCTGATATTTTTCTACTATTGTCACTATTACTCTTGCTCCTAAACTTGTGATAATTTCCAGAATCATGGGGTTCTTTAATGTCTCAGCCAGTTTCTCATTTTCTGCAGTATCATATTCCTCTATCCATCTATCCCACTTTCTCTCTTGGCTTTACTCTTCATTCTTACAGCTTCTCCTCCAAAAACTCCAAAGTATCAGGTCTTCATAAACCCAGATTCAGGTCTCAATAATATTTTTGGTCTCCTCCCCAAACCTAGACACAGCTCAGCCTGTCTGTGTTTTGGTTCCCAACCAATAAAATGGGTACAACACTGTTGCTCTAGTTCCAGGGTTATTTCCAGAGAAATCAATACTCTGGAGAGCCAGTACATCAGAGCTGAATCACACACCTGGGTCATGTCTCATGCACCATCCAAACCCTGAGGATTTTCCCCTAGTGCATAGTACCCTTGTCCTTCTATCTCCTGTGCTGTAGATATTTAAGGTGTATTAAAGAATTTACACTAGCTTCTCTTCAAAACAAAACTTAAAGGAATTTGTTCATCATAACTGTACATAAAAACAGGCCAAATCCTGTGGTGCCTGCTGGCTTCTTTCACTGGCAGAACTCCCATGAGTAACAATAGGAAGAAGTATAAAATAAAGATCTGACTTGGATTTCATGCACAGAGAATAAATTACAGTGTAAATATATTTAGAATAAAATTAGTACTGATGACAGATGGTGACCGTCATTCGGTCTGAGCAGGTGCTACATAAACATCCCTTCACAGCTGGTTAATTTTGCTCATGACCTGCAGTTCCTTTCCTACTTGAATCCTGCTCCTCTCCCAGGCAGCAAGTCTTGGCCTTGCCAAATTGCCTGGCGGTTTTGTGATATGCACAAATGGGGACTGGGATGAGACCACCCAGCTTGCTTTCATTTACAAGCTAAACCAGGATGTAAGGCCGAGTCTCCAGAAGAAAAAGACTATGGTACTAACCCACTGTGCCACTTAGCCTCCACAGTGCAAAAGAGCTATTCAGATCCTGCCAACACTTCATTTTCAGATGTACTGTGGCTCTGTAACAATCAGCCTAAAGACTGCAGAGTGTTTCCCAGCAATGACAGCCAATTATTTTGTCTCATTGGATTATGCCGCCATCGTGTGGCAAATGTTTTTTACAAGTAACATTTTCCCTCCAATTAAAAAAAAAAAAAGTTAAATCCTCTGTTGAACACAACACTTAACGTTTACTTCAGCTGCAGAATGTTATTATTATTATCGTTATTATTATCCAATTTATTCACATAAAAAATATACCCACTCATCTTGTCCTCTGTTCAGCACAGCCTTGAACAGGTTCAGCTGTAAACACCTTCATTTTTATATTTTTTTCTTTCATGTGTCTGGTTCATTTGTCTGTACTTTATCTGAGCATCTCTCAGGCAAGTTGAAGGTGTCTTGGGGAAAATGTGTGCCACAGTTCCTGAAACATTCTTTTAGATACTGGGGGAATGGTGGTGTATGGGATAATTTGCTAACACTAATTGTTAATACTGTGGAGTTTCACACAGTTATTAATCTCTCTTCCAGTCTCATTTGTTTCTCTTTGAAGGTGCTTTCTCTTGGTAATCTGATGTCCCACAAGGTTCTGTGAAAATGCTAGGTTTGCACACTTGGAATCTATACCTGCCAAATCTTGTCCCTATTGACACATATACACTACATTGACATAACGCATTTTGAAGCAACTTGAGAGTCAGTCCAAATATTAGTCTTTCTACAGGAACCCTCAATTAACACCTAACTGAAAAGGTATCATCCAGGCTGTGGCCAGAGGGCATTTGGTATGTCATGAAGAGAAGAACTTACAAAACTTTTTAAATTTCCTTTCTCCTAAGACAGAGTCTGGCCCAGGCCAGTTCCCCGGGCCAACTGCTTTTACCTGTCAACAAGCTACAGAGCCTCTCAGAGTACAAACAAAGTATAAGCACGGCACCTTTCTTCCTTATTTCCTCCTGGTGGGCTGACAACTTGCCTCAAAATCTCTGAACTACTTCATAATTTAGAGGAGTCAAATGAGATCTTCCAGGGCCACATCCACCAGCTATGCAGCTGCTCTCCACTTGCATGAAGCAAACGCTGTGTGGCACCTGGCCAAGGCCTAAGCTTTTTCTTTGCAAACCAGCAGTGCTGCCAATTCTTGTAGTACCAAGTATTGTACTGCAAACTCATAGAGTCAGAATTAAGAGAATTAAGAATTAAGAGAATTTTGCTTTTACTGTCTTAAAATACATTTCCAGATCTCATTGCTGTCTAAAAACATGATGTGACATAAAGGACGAGAAAGCAAAGAAAAAGAGCTCCAAATTATTATTTTTAAGTCAGTCTTAAAAGGGCCCAACTCAAGATTTTGAACATTTGATGTCTGTAATACTGAATCCTATATCTGTAATACTGAATCCTACTAAAATAACATCCCTCAAAAGTCATCCCAGCAAATATTGACCTTCCTGTCAATGTCTTTGTCAAACTGCACAAGGACTTTCACAGTTTAGCAACAATCAAACTGCCATGAAACTCCACCACTATCAAAAAGTGCATCATCTGCTGAGAAAACAGAGAAGAGATTTTAAATTGTGAAAATAATTCCAGAAGCATGGGCAAGACTTTGTTTACTGCCAAGCCAAAGCTGCTCTTCTATTTCACAGTCATAATCAAGAAA